TTGATAGACTTTCTCTGCGCTCCATTAATTCTATGTTCTATCTATATCTACTGCCTTCTGATTGGTTGTTCAGTTCCTCTTGTTTGTTTGCTTATCTATATATCAGATTTTACACATATCTATATATGATTTGCAATATCTATTCTAATTTGGTAACTTGCATGTGTCTGTTGTTGTTTTGCTATTACGTGTCTTTTGTGTAATGTAAACAGATCTACGTTACAGAGTCTAATGGCAATTCCCTACTACTGTTGTTTTTCAGTAAGTTTTTTGCTATTTCTTTAATAACTCTGCTATTATTTTGCAAATAAACTTTTCTTTTGCTAGTCTAATGCTTTCCTTATTGCTGCTTCTTTTTGTTTAGAACTATTTAGAGTGTTTTTTATTAATAATTTTGCTAAAATCTTCTTTTTTCTTTAGCTGTTTTTTGTGTTCAAATGATCGACAGGAAGAGTTATGTCATTCATTTTTGTTATTGTTAATTTATATATTTTTATTTATTTATTATTTATTTGTTGGTTTGCATTCATTATCACTTGTAATTGTTTAATTTTTTTTAATGGGTTAATTAACTTTTTTGTTTTATTTCATTTACTAGTTATTACAGAAAATGAAAAATCATTGTGGTGCAGCACTACAAAACAGTCGAAATTTCATTTGGAAGGTTTTTGGATATGAAAAGCTCACCTTCTCTAAAAAGCAATGCTGCCATGACAGAAATTATAAAGTGGAAGCAGAGTGATCAGATTGCTGCTTGTTTTTGTTTCCTATTTTAGCAAAATGATGATGGTGTATATTGGGTAGTAGTTATCGCAAGGACTGCTTTTTTTATGATTGCAGTCCTAATTTATCAAATGAACACTGTGCATTCGCATTAGCTGTATGCAATATATTGTTGAATTCATGATCATGTAAGATCATATGTATAGTAAATTGTATAAAATGCCATATAGCAAAGTATTTGGTAAGTATTTAATTATATATCGCTTTATATTGCTTTATATTAATTCAATATTAATGGGTTTGCATTGGGTTTTGAATTGTAGAATGATTTCAATGAAGAAGGCTCCTTATACAAATCTACTGAAGCATTAATGAACAATGAGTTAGAGAAAGATAGTGAAAAATTACAACCAATCACTTCAAGTTATAACTCTGAATCTGAGCAAAATTGCAAGCATCATGATCCAATTCGATGCAACTTTCACAAGAAGAGTTGGATGAATTGTTCACACCCTATTGAAAGCGGTGTTTTTATTTTTGGTCTTTGCATTATGTGTTGTTAATCTTTAATATATGTAATATTGATATTGTAAAAAATTAAATGTATATAATAAATTACTTTTAATAAATTGTTTTTAATAAATTTGATAGTTTATTTTAAAAGTTATATGACTTGTACACTTATTTTTTTATAGTATTATATTTTTGGGATATATATTGCTAACAAAAGTAGTCATTTGCCAAAATAGGATATATATCGATTATACTCATAATCGATTATTATTGTTTAAAGATTAACTGGATATATATTGATTATTATCATAATCGATGATAATTGGCAGAGAAGATTATAATCAATATATATCTATATGGTTAGTAATCGATATATATCTTTATATAAATTTTGCTGATAACATCACATTACTAATTTTCAATAATGAATTAATAATCCTAATATTCTTGGTATAACAACTTAAATTAGACTGCAATAACTTCAAAATAACCTCTAGTCTACTACTAATATCCTTCAACATAATCAACCTATTATTAACAAATACAACAAACTTACTTTTAATTTTAAAATTATTCAGTTGTTTCAATATCTCAATATTACAATCTCTGCTTATTACAATATATTATAGCCAAATACTATACATAATGCATATTAACCAATTGAACCTATACTTATACAATATTCAAAATATATTATCTTTAAAAAACAATTAAGAAAACTTAATATCCTATATTTAGAGCAACTATGTACTGCCGATAACAATACTTTACTTAAATGATAATATCTTTTACCAAGATTATACCAACTAACAAAAGGAAAACAACCTTTATAGTTTACCTCTCTTGAAAACAAATTCATATCAGATAAATATCACAGAACTATCTTATCTCATTTTTAATCACCTAGTACTAACCTTTTTGTATACAATATATATTCTATTGCCAAAAAACAAAAACCTTGGCTTTTTACTTATCATTTCAATAATAAAAAAATTATTATTAGTAAAATTTACAAAAATATTCCTGTTTCTAATTCATTCTTAATTACATATTAGAAATCTAATATTAATTTAGATTACAATCTATATTACCTATTCCTATTTATCAAATGCAAATTATATATAGAATGTTATCTTAATTCAAATAGAATTAACCAAATATGTATTATTAATATATCAGCAATTATTTCTGTAATATTTCTAGCTAAAAAAACCTTCAACAATTTTAAGCTCAATGCCAATTACATTGATCTTATATACTCAATAGCTATTAAACACCTTTTATATATATCTTCTATATCTTCCAATATCATCATATACAACTTTAACATTTTAGAAATCTTTAAACCAAATAGCTATACTCATAAGCTTCAAGACATTTACCTATCTAATTTTACAAATAATAATTTTACTTTTTATACTAATGATTCTATTATTGATATTGGATTAGAACAATATTTTATAAATATTGAATGGGTCCAAATTAATATATAAAATCAAATTATCTATAAATTTTCAGTCTAAGTTCAATTATAACCAACATGTTATAAAGTTGAATTAGTTTTAATTCTATTTGCAATATCTATCATACTTTGCAATTCATTTATTAGCATCTACACAAACTCATAATCTATTATTTTAAAATTTTATACACTATTGAACTAATTATAAAATTCTAACAAGTTATTTAAATTTAGTACATGACCTTTATAATATACTTTACTTAATATTATAAAATTTTTTAACCTTTAAATTATCTTTTATAAAATTCAAGCTTATACTAATAATCCTCACAGACTCCTTAGCAAAATAACATATATTTTTTTAATTTCTTATCTTTAATTATACTAATATTTATAACTCTTATTATATTCTTCAATAAGAACAAAACTTTATCAAATTACCAATTAGATATTTTATCAAAAATATATATAAAGCATATATACTAGCAATATGATTTTTATAAAAAAGAAACAGTGAATAATCTTATTTAAATCATCTTATAAACTGGATCTTTTCTTAGTATTATCTTAATCATAACCAAAAACCTATTTCTTTTTACACCAATTTTAAACTTAATTAATTCAAAATTTTTAAATTTAAGTTCTTACTAAATAAGCTATCTACTCAATTCTTTCTTCATAACAGATATCCTCATATCTTTACCAATACTAATTGCTTCAAATACAATTTTTTTAACTCATCTATATACTGACATACATGTTTTAATATATATAATACTCTTCTTAATATTATTTATATATCTGTTAATCAAATACTTTTCAAGACTAAACTGAACTTATCATCTTTCTAACTTCAAGAACTAGATTCTAATATATGTCATCATCCATGTTTTGATCACATACCATTTCAACACAATCTATATTTTATAGATATTATACTTAAAGAACTTATATTTAAATCATTTATTGAAGTTATTCGCAACTTTAATATATCTTTATAATTAGTTTTATAAATAGTAATTCAAATACTTTATACATTAATAAACAAATTTATAAACTAATTAGAAACCATGTTGTATTGAATTTTATAATTAGAAAAAACATAACCAGATACCAAAATAATATCAACAGTACTAATATACAACATCAAAATCATAAAGTCTTCAAACAACATCACCAAACCTACACATACTTATGCCTATGTGATATTGCAGATCAACTTCATTTATAATCTAATATATATTCACCAATTGATCAAGCAATTAAAAAACTTAATATCTGGTCAATTCTCTGAATTAAATACAATATTTCTTCTAATTATATACTAACATTCCAAATCTAAATGGGTCTTGACCACCATAATCAGTTTAAATCACAGATAAACTAGTCTGAACTCTCATTCTTGCATGTAATTTTTATTTTGTTACAAACAACCTTAGTTATTTCAGTACTCTTGTACTAAAATATACAGTTAAAATTATTAATAAAGATATGAGCAAGGCCTCACCTTAACACCAAAAAAAAAAAGTAAGTAATAATTTTATAAATATATAACTATAATTTAATAAAATAAAAACATATTTTACAAAAAATGTAAAATATAACTTGGATAAGTTGTTTTTTTGTTGTAGATCATATTAAATTTTTTAAAAATTGTCTCTTTATATATCATATTTATGTGTTATTTAGGTTAACTAATGCCAATATCTAAATTAACTACAATATGTTCGCTTTAGTTAATATATATTACCAATGTTAATCAACACTATTGAGTAAATGAGGACGTTTTATAAACTTCGGATTGTGATCCTTAAATTCTCGTTCCATACTTTTAGCAATTCGACGCATTCTTTCTTCAGGCGATGATATGACAATATTTTCCCATAACCCTTCCAGGTCACGATATTTTCTTTCTTCAGGAGTGAATAGATGTATAAACATATTTCCAGAGTCAATTAAAATCCAATCATCTGAGTCTAGGCCTTCAACAATCGGATAGTTATTGATGGATGAATTCGATTGATCTTCATTTCGGCGTTTTATATCATCTTTTAACTTTGGAAAGAATCTCGTCTTTAAGATGTATAAAGACTATTTATTATTATTATTAAAGAGAAATAGTGATTTCTCACCATTTTATAAAGGCAACTCGCTGCACCACTTAAATGTCTAGTAGTTTTTCCTTCTCCAATTATCATCCAATTAGTAAAGTCGCATTTTTCTCTCACATCAATCAAGGTAATATTTTCTATACCTTCATCTTCCAAAAACTTTATAATATTCGAAGAGTTTATAAGTTCATTCGAAGTATGGTTTTTAAGTGAAACCTTTTCTGTGTAATGACGAAAGACGAAACCTTGACGAAACCCCAGATCCCTCTGACGAAATACGAAACTTAATATCGGAAATGACAAAGGACGAAACCTGGCGAAACCTTAATGAAGATTAAAATCAGACGAGATTTAAAAAGATCAAAATGAAAGACTAAGCTATAATTAATAAGCCATTTCCATAGTATAAAAATGAGTCCTTACCATTCATAGATTTTTTCACTATTATATTATAGTTTTATTACTTTTTTTTAATATTGTTATTGTTTAACAATCTTTTAAGACAAAAAATGGCCTCAAAAATGTTGAATCGAATTTCAAAAATGTCAAGGATTACAAGATCAGGTAAACTCATGTGATTGACTATTTATTCGAAGCGATCATTTCCTAAAAACATCATTCAGATTGCCCTTTTGAGTTAGTAAGCCTTTTATCATTTGCAAAAAGATGTAGGCACATGATTTTTGTAATGATGCTTCATATTCTCGATCGGTTATGTTTATATTTCTTTTGAAATCTGCGATTTTCACAGATGCAACATCTTTCTGCATATTAGATAGTGGTAATTCATTTTGATGTAATATTCAAAATTAATAAATGTATAGGCAGAAGTTCATCAGATTGATTAAATTCTGTAGAAAAGTAAATATGGGCTAGGTGCTGGAAAAAGGGCCGAAAATGACAATTTTTTCAAGAGTTTTTGTACATAAATCAATTTAGAATAAAATTAGGGTCATTTTTCACTTAAGATATGACAGTATAACTCTTAAAAGTTTGCATTTTCTTATGATTTATTATAATATTTATAATAAAAAAATTGATTTTCCGAAGATTTTTTTTGCCCTTTTTCCAGCACCTAGCCCATATATAAATCTATATAAAAAAATCAATACCTTAAATTTCATAGCTTATATCTCGATGAATTTTGAGGCTAATTTAATTATTCAATAGCCAAAGAAAGTTTAGATTTCAAGATTTCTTTTAAATATTAAATAATTAAACTATCTTCTAAATTCATCAATATATGAGCTATGAAAATTAAGGTACTTGAGTATTTGCTATGTATTAAACCCAATTTTTACTATACGTATAAGTATTATTATATATCAAAATTCTCTTATATATGTTAACTTTAATATGATTTCTTATTAACATCACTATCAACATGATTTAAAACCAATTCAAATAGGTTGATATTAACAGAGGTAACCTGTAATTAAAGTATACATATTATAGATCTACTGTACAGCACTGCATATACAATGAGGTATTATATTATTGTGGACACTTTTTGAAAATTTATATTGATCTAAATAAACAAGATATAGAGCTAAAAATTATATAAAATATTATTCAAATCTAAAACTTTCAAATAAAAAAAAATATTTAAAATTCTATATAGTACTTTTTGAAATAATTAAGTTTAAAAAATTTTAGAATTTTTTCATTCATATTAAAACCTAGTTTTTAATAGAGGTTTAGTATAAATATTAATTTTAATTTTTAGTATATATTTAACTTAATTTTTTATTAAATAAATTATGCTTAATTATTAAGTAAAACTTGTTTAGTATAAAAATACATATATTTTGAAATTTTTAAATTTTTTAAAAAAATATTCATAAAATTATTAAAAATAATAAAAATTACTGTATTTGGCAATTTGTTAATTTTAAATTTAATAATTTAGTCTTTATATTTAGTAATAATATTTAGTTTAAAATTTTTTAAAAGTT